TTTGTCCTGCTGTTCTGCCCCACCTGTGTTTCCTATTCTGCTCTCCTGCCTCACCTTTATTGCTAGTTTTCTGAGAATTTTTATTGTGAATAGGTGGTAAATTTTGTCAGATGCTTTTCTGCGTTGATGGAAGGGGTTATGTCATTTTTCTTACTTAAGTCTATTAATATGGTGTATTACATTGATTAGTTGTTGAATTATTAAACTTTGCTGCATCTCTGAAATAAAACCCACTTGGTGATAGTATGCAGTTCTTTTTTTTTTTTTTTTTTTTGAGACAGAGTCTCACTGTTGCCCGGGCTAGAGTGCCCTGGTGTCAGCCTAGCTCACAGCAACCTCAGACTCCTGGGCTCAAGCAATCCTTCTGCCTCAGCCTCCAGAGTAGCTGGGACTACAGCCATGCGCCACTATACCTGGCTAATTTTTCTATATATTTTTTAGTTGCCAATTAATTTCTTTCTATTTTATTAGAGACGGGGTCTCGCTCTTGCTCAGGTGGTTTTGAACTCCTGACTTTGAACAATCCTCCTGCCTCGGCCTCTCAGAGTGCTAGGATTACAGGCATGAGCCACACGCCCAGCCTATTTATTTTTTTTTTATTGCTCAAGAAACTGAAATCTGTGCAGTTCTTTTTATATATTGCTGAATTCTAGTTTCTTATATTTTATTAAGGATTTGTATCTATATTCATGAGGGATATTGGTTTGTAGTTTCCTTTTTTATGTTTTGTCTGTTTTTCCATCAGGGTAATACTGGCTGTATAAAATTGAGTTGAGAAGTATTTCTCCCTCTCTGCTTTCTGGATGAGATTGTGTAGAAGTTGCATTTGTTTTTCTTTAAATGTTAGAATTCTCCAGTGAAACCCTATGGGTCCGAAGATTCTATTGGAGGAGTTTTAGAATTATGAATTCAAATTTTAAAATAGCTACAGAGCTATTTAAATTATCTTTTTTATTTTGGCTGAATTCTGGTAGTTTGTGCCTTTTGAGGAATTAGTCCATTTTATGTGTCAAATTTATGTGTAAGTTGTTCGTAGTATCATTTAGATGTCTGCAGGGTCTGTGTAGTATCCTGTTTCATTCCTAATGCCAGTAATTTGTTTTTGACAAAATTCTTTCCTTGTTAGTCTTGCTAGATAGAGACTAATTTATTGATCCTTTCAAAGAGCTAGCTCCCACCCACCCCATTGATTTTTTGTTGTTTTTGTCTTTACTTTCATTGGTTCTCTTTGCTGTGGGTTCATTTGGCTCTTCTTAGTCTAGATTCTTGACGAGGAAGGTTACAGTACTGATTAGAGACATTTCCTATTTTCTGTTGTAGGCACATATTGCTGTAGATTTCCCTGTCCACCCTACTTTAGCTGTGCCTCACAAATTTTTTTTTTTTTTTTTTTGAGACAGAGTCTCGCTTTCTTGCCTAGGCCAGAGTGAGTGCCATGGCGTCAGCCTAGCTCACAGCAACCTCAAACTCCTGGGCTCAAGCAATCCTCCTGCCTCAGCCTCCCGAGTAGCTGGGACTACCGGCACGAGCCACCATGCCCGGCTGATTTTTATATTATATATATTAGTTGGCCAATTAATTTCTTTCTATTTTTATGGTAGAGACGGGGTCTCGCTCAGGCTGGTTTTGAACTCCTGACCTTGAGCAATCAGCCCGCCTCGGCCTCCCAGAGTGCTAGGATTACAGGCGTGAGCCACCGCGCCCGGCCTGCCTCACAAATTTTGATATGTTGTATTTTCATCTTTATTTAATTCATTGTGTCTTTAGATTTTCCTTGACATTTCCTGTTTGCACTGTGGATTACTTAAAGTACCATTGTAGTTTCTATGTATTTGGAGATTTTCCTGTTATCTTTCTATTGTTGTTTTCTAATTTGATAACATTGTCCTCAGACAACAACACTCTTTGTATAATTTTAATTTTTTAAATGTTTAGGTTTGTTTCATGGCCCAGGATATGGTCTCTCTTGGTAAATGTTCCATGGGTATTTGAAAATAATATGGGTTCTATTGTCATTAGTAGAATATTCTATAAATGTTCATTATTAGATCCTTTTATTTTTTATTTTTTTGAGACACAGTCTCACTCTGTTGTCCAGGTAGAGTGCTGTGGCGACAGCTTAGCTACAGCAACCTCAAACTCTTGGGCTCAAGCAATCTTCCTACTTCAGCCTCCCGTGTAGCTGGGACTATAGGCATGTGCTACCATGCCTGGCTCATTTTTTTTCTTTTTGTAGTTGCCTGGTCAATTTCTTTCCGTTTTTCCGTAGAGACAGGGTCTCGCTCTTGTGGAGGCTGGTCTTGAACCCCTGAGATCCTCCCACCTCGACCTCCCTGAGTGCTAGGATTATAGGCGTGAGCCACCACACCCAGCCTTTATTAGATCCTATTAATTGATGTTATTATTAAATTCTCTTATATTCTTGTTAATTTCTTTGGTTGCATCAATTATTGAGGAAGGGGTATTGAGCTCTTATGCTAGAATTGTAGATTTATCTATTTTTTATTTCAGCTGTATGGTTTTTGCAGCATATTTTGCAGCTCTGTTGGTTGGTGCATTCACATTTAAGATTGCTTGGTCTTCTTGGTGGATCGACCATTTTATAATTATGTAATATCTTTCCCTGTTCCTGTGAATTTTCTTTGTTCTGAAGTGTACTTTATCTGATATTAATATTAGTTATTCCGTCTTTCTGTTGATTAATGTTTCCATGATATATGTCTTTTTCCATCCTTGTAATTTCTACCTGCCTATATTGTTATATTTGAGGAGATTGTAGTGGGGTCATTTTTTTTTTTTTTTTTGTACTCTACCAGTCATTGTTTTTTAATTGGTAAAATTTACTTGGCTAGCTCCTCTTTGTCAAGTACTAAAACTATTTTCCTCTATATTATTTCTCCTCTATGTAAAATTGACTTTTATATTGAGCTTTAATCTTTTGACATGGGTAGTCTATGAGAGATCAGCTCCTGTTATGGAATCCCAATTTGAAATGCTGTTTATTATTATTTTGCCAACTCATTCTTATTGCTTGCTACAGTACAGTGGAGTGATCACAGCTCACTTCAGCCACCCCAATACCTGGAACTACAGTTGTGTACCACCATGCCTGGTTATTTAGAAAAATGTTTTTAGAGAGATGGTCTCTCTGTGTTGCTCCTGGCCTCAAGCAATCCCCTTGCCTCAACATTCTGAGTAGGTGGGATTAAAGGCACAAGCAACTGTGAACAGCTTGCTTACTCATATTTAAAAATCCCAGGCCGGGCATGGTGGCTCACGCCTGTAATCCTGGCACTCTGGGAGGCCAAGGCGGGCGGATTGCTAGAGGTCAGGAGTTCGAAACCAACCTGAGCAAGAGTGAGACCCCGTCTCTACTATAAATAGAAAGAAATTAATTGACCAACTAATAAATAGAGAGAAAACTAGCCGGGCATGGTGGCGCATGCCTGAAGTCCCAGCTACTCGGGAGGCTGAGGCAGGAGGATTGCTTGAGCCCAGGAGTTTGAGGTTGCTGTGAGCTAGGCTGACGTCATGGCACTCACTGTAGCCTGGGCAACAAAGCAAGATTCTGTGTCATAAATAAATAATAAAAACCCCAAATACTTGTGTCGATTTCTAGTTAAGTTTAACTGTCTTTAAGACAGAAGTTTTATGAGTTTTACAATTTGGATCCTTGAATGCCTGAAAGTGTTTTTGGTTTTTTTCCCTACATGAATGTTAGATGTGGGTAAATAAGTCTGTGTTTTAAATAATTTTCTTTTAGAACTTTGAATCTACATCTTCATTGTCCTTTTTTTGTGTGTGTGAGATGGTCTTACTTTCTTGCCTGGGCTAGAGTGCTGTGGTGTGAGCCTAACTCACAGCAACTTCAAAGTCTTGGGCTCAAGCCCTCTTCCTGCTTCAGCCTCCCGAGTAGCTGAGACTACAGGCGGGTGCCACCATGCATGGCTAATTTTTTCCATTTTTACTTGTTTGGCTAATTTCATTCTAGTTTTAGTAGAGATAGGGTCTCGCTCTTGCTCAGGCTGGTCTCAAGGGATCCTCCTGCCTCAGCCTCCTAGAGTGCTAGGATAACAGGCGTGAGCCATCACACCCAGCCTTCATTGTCTTTTACCATCTAGTGTTGCCAGGCCTGGGGAGGTGGCACAGGCCTGTGATCCTAGCACTCTGGGTGGCCGAAGGAGGCGGATCATTTGAGCTCAAGAGTTCAAGACCACCTAGCCTAGCTGTGAGCTAGGCTGATGCCATGGCACTCTAGCTTGGGCAACAGAGTGAGATTCTATCTCAAAAATAAATAAATAAATAAAAAACGAAAACAAAAAACATCAGTGTTGCTAATACCAGTGTGATTTCTGTTCTTTTATAGGCACTCTGTTTTTTTCCCCTCTTAAGTTAAAAATTCTGAAGCAAAGATTGGTAGTCTTAAGTTTTCTATTTTGTTTTTATTTTATTAGGAATAATAATAATAATATTATAAGAATTAGGGTGAATTTTGAAGATAGTTAAAATAAAGAGCATTATATTTTAACAAAAAACCAAATTTCCATGTTTCCCCCAAATCTTAAGTTTAAACAAAAAATAGAAGGGCCTGCCAAAGTTAAATCTTCCTTCCTGTTGTCATTTTGCCATATTTTTAAGTACTTGTATCAATGAATAATATTTAATTTCCTAAAGTAGCATATTCTTTTCCCCCTTTTTTGGCTACTCCTAAGTTTACATATTTTGAAATGGAATATGACTTCCTGAAAAATATGTGTATTAACTCTTCTGAATGGAACATTTCAAAATAAAACTCTTCTTCAAGGCAATTTGTAATTTTTGTTTAGATGATGAACTATATCTGATATCCAAGTTGTATCTAGAATACTTATCCTGGTGTTTCCAAATTTATAATTGTTTTCCACCTGAGTTTTAATTGAAAAATATAAATAACATTTTCTTTTAAACTACATTATATCTTCTTCTTTTAATTTAGTGATTTTTGTTTTTTTTAAACTTAGACCTTGTGTGGACAGTAATGACCTCACGTTTCCGATTGCCTGCTGGCGGAACCTACAATGTACGAGCATCAGAGTTGGCCCGAGACAGACAGCACACAGAAGTGGTTTGCAACATCCTTCTTCTGGATAACACTGTACAAGCTTTCAAAGTTAATGTAAGTATTTTATATCTTGTAAATCATCTCTTGTTATAAGTTTGAATTTAGATATATTTTAAAACTAGAACCATTAAGTTGTAGTATAGTTTGAAAACTCTTATTCAGTTAAGAAAGTCTTTTGGATGCTGGTTTGTATTAGGTATGTGTTGTTATCCAAACTGGGTCTTTAAAAATTGTTGCCCACTGGATGCTGTTGGCAAACCAGCAGTGCATTATGATTAGTAGAGTAGATGTATAGTATATGGGTGGTTTTCATAAGTGTGTTTGAGGGTGCATGAAGAATTTGTTCTTCTCAATAGTTTATACATTTCCAATGTAATTTTGCATGTACTCTCTATGAATAAAACTTTTGCTGAAAGATAAATGACAGCCCTAATCTTATCTGAGTATCATCTGAAATATTTATTTAACAAACATTTGTTCATCCTATTTGTGTCTGGCTTCATTTGCTTATCGTTATTTGTGAATTTGACCCATGTAGTGTGTTAACAGTAGTTAGTTCATTTTCATTGCTACATAATATCCTTTTATATGAATATACCACAATTTACTTATCTATTCATTTACCACCATTTACTATTAGTATATATTTGGATTGTTTCCATTTTGTGCTTTCAAAAAAAAAAACATTGCTGTGAATTTTCTTGTGCATGTCTTGATACATACAAGGATGCATTGCCCCTTTTTATTTAAAAAATTTCAACCTATAGAAAAGTTGAGGCTGGGTGCAGTGGCTCACGCCTATAATCCTAATACTCTGGGAGGCTGAGGCTGGAGGATCACTTGAGGTCAGGAGTTTGCGACCAGCCTGAGCAAGAGTGAGACCCTGAGACCCCATCTCTACTAAAAAGAGAAAAAAATTAGCTGGGTGTGGTGGCACATGCTTGTAGTACCAGCTACTCAGGAGGCTGAGCCAGGAGGATAATTGAGCCCAGGAGTTTGAGGTTGCTGTGAGCTAGGTTGACACCACGGCACTCTAGCCTGGACAACAGAACAAGACTCTGTCTCAAAAAACAAAGAAACAAACAAACAAACAAAAAACAGAAAAGGTGAAAGGAAGAGTATAATAAATACTCACATACCTTTTAACCTCGATTGACCTAGTGTTAACATTTTGCACATTGGCTTTCTCTTTCTCTCTGTGTGGTGGGTGTTTTTAAATTTTTTTTCTTTGCCTTTTGAAAGTAAATGGTAGACTTCACTCATAAGTACTTCAGCATCGTAAGAAAATCCAAAATTACCACAGTACCATTGTTACACCCCAACATTGGACATTATGAAATTAATATTTGTAGTCAATATTCAAACTGGAATTTATTATTATTCTTTTTGAAGTCTCCAGGCTGACATCTCATGTGTTCCCTGCTATATTACCTAGGTATTTCTATACTTTGAAATCTTTAAGTAAAATAAAATATTAATCATTCTTGATTACCAGTTTCTTAAAATTTTCTTAGTATTACTTTTTAACAGGATCACTAATTTATCTCAAATTCCAAGCCATTTCACATTGGAAAAAGGGCTGCGGAGTAGTGAAATTTGCATCATTAAAAGTACCTTTGAGATTATCTGGCATACCCAACAAGTTGTGCTTTTCTAAAAAGTTCAACTTTCAATTTCTTTTGTATTCTATGGTCTATTAATAGATGAAATACAGGTTGCCAAACAGATAACTGCTTCATAAAAATTTCTAGTTAGTAGAAATTCTCATGTGTTAGACAGTTGATACAAGAAAATGAACCTTTTTTCCTGTTATTGACTTAATAATAATTCTTTTTTAGGGGAATATAAACTTAATAACTCTTATTTTAACTTATTATTTAATATTTAGTTTTGATTTTAAGTTATAGTTTTACACTTGCTTCAAAATATTGTAAAGTCTTTGCTGTGTGTGATATTGTGAAATATATATTTGGTCTTTGTCCCATTTCCTGGCATATAACTCCTAAAATCCTTGGAATCTCCAGTCATATCTTTTTGTATACCAATGATTGGTATCTTTAGCTTGGGGCTGGTCAACAGAGGTCAGTCCCACTTTCCAGCCTCTGGGGAGGTAAGAACAACTGAAGGTCAAGTTGATCACCAATGGATAATAGTTTGATCAATCACCCTATGTAATGAAGCCTCCATAAAACCCCAAAAGGATGGGGTTCTGAGAACTTCCAGACAGCTAAACACATGCGGGTTCCTGGAGAGTGATGTACTTGGGGTGCCCTTTCTCCCTTACCTTGCCCTATGCATTTCTTCATCTGTTTGCCTTGTAATATGCTTTAGAAAAAAGCAGCAAATGGTTAAGTGTTTCCCTGAGTTCTGTGAGTTGCTCCAGCAAATTAATCTAACCCATGGAGTGGGTCATGGGAACCCTGATTTGAAGCTGATCAGTCAGGCATTCTGGAGGCCTGAACTTGTGACTGGTGTCTGAAGGGGGCAGTCTTGGGGAATGAGCCCTCAGCCCATGTGATCTGACACTATCACATGTGAGAATTGAATTGAATTATAGGACACCCAGCTGGTGTCTGCTGCTTGGTGTATGAAGAAAAACCCACACACGTTTGGTCAGAGAAGTCTCTGTTGGTTGTTGTGTTGGTGTGAGAGCAGAGGAGAAACATGGTTTGAGTTTTTCTTCTAAACACTTTCTCAGTTGGAATAATTTTTCTCTTGGGCACTTTAGTTGACTGATAGTATGCTGTATTTTTCAATGTAAAAATCAATGTGCTATCTAATTACTCTTTTATAAAAACATGTTTAATATATATTTGTATGTATATATATTTTCTATATGTAACTGTCAGTTTCAATAGAGCTGAGTATATTACTAGAATGATAAGTACTGTGGTGCTAAAAACTTTCTCTACCATTATCTTAGGTCATCAGAAAACTTACTTAAAAGAAACAAGTATTTATGAGAAATTGTCTGTCGGATATGTATTAATAGTATATTTACTCCCCTGGGTATTTGGACCCAGGTCATTCAAACTGAAAGAGTTGCTTTGTACTTTTATATAGATTGTTACCATGTCAATCTATGTGAATGACTCCCCAGTTATATACTTTACAACCTATGGAGTGCTATATGGCAGCCTACAAATTAATTGAGGATTTGAGAGGTCTGATTTTTCCTGTCTATTCAGTACCATTAAGTCTCAGAAATTCTCACTGTGGGCAGCTGCTAGGTTTCAGCATCTCTCCATTCACTAAGAAGGACAACCACTCAGTTTCCTTTTGGGATTACCAAGCAATGATTTGTAAAGTCAGCCATTGGAGTCATTGCTTTTTATAAAAGATTTTTATACCACAGGGGAAATATGCATTGTTGCCAAAGCTTGCTTTTTTCCATCTGGCAGTTATCCAGTAAAAGCTGTTTCTATATCTTTTGCTGGGGGAAATTGATGTAATAAAGGAGTTGATATAACTTCACTAGATCTTGATTTTTTTCTGCTATGGACATAGGAGTGAGATAAGCCTACTATCACTAGACTTATGTTGGCTTGTTTTGCTCCGGATTTAAGCCCTATTTCACCATGGCTTTGGCACAGCCATTTATTTGCTGTAGCCAACCTATGGAATGTGTTGTCCCCCTCATGCCATGAACTAATTATTAATTCACCAAAAACATTTTCATTAAATACTTTAAAATGTATAATGTCTATATTACTTGGACTGATTTCTTTAGCTTATGAGGATTTCCCCCCTAATTTTGGCTTTACTTTTACTTTGGTACAGCTGTTTAACAGTAACCTGTGTGACAAGGAAGGCCTGGGGAGAATCAGCCTATTCTAGTTACTGTGACTATGTAAGAATTTACCCGAAAACTTAGTGGCATAAAATAACCATTTATTATATCCAAGGTTTCCCATAAATCTGGCTTATTTTTGCTACATCGTATGTCAGGCCTCAGCTGGAAGACTCAAAGGCTAGAAGCTAGAATCATTTGAAGGCTTATTCACTCATGGCTGTTACCTGAAACCTTAGCTTGGGCTGAAGCACCTGAATATACCTCTTTCTGTCTTGGGCTTCTTTCTAGCACAGTGGTTGGTTTCCAAGGGTAAGCATCCTTTGCCAGATTGCAGCTATATTGCCCTTTCTGATATGGCCTTGGAAGTCACATAATGTTATCTTCACCATATTCTGTTTGGTAAGGCTGTCGCAGAGTCATGCTCAGAGTTAAGGAAGGGAAATAGACTGTCCCTTTTTATAAAATTTTATTTATGTATTTTTATTTATTTATTTATTTTTGAGACAGAGTCTTACTTTATTGCCCGGGCTAGAGTGCTGTGACGTCAGCCTAGCTCACAGCAACCTCAAACTCCTGGGCTCAAGCAATCCTTCTACCTTAGCCTTCTGAGTATCTGGGACTACAGACATGTGCCACCATGCCCGGCTAATTTTTTCTATATATTTTTAGTTGGCCAATTAATTTCTTTATATTTTTAGTAGAGATGGGGTCTCACTCTTGCTCACTCTGGTTTCAAACTGCTGGCCTTTAGAGCCTCGGCCTCCCACAGTGCTAGGATTACAGGTGTGAGCCACCACGCCCAGCCAAAAATGTCTACTTTGAAGGAGAATTTTAATTATTAAATACTGAACTTGTTGAGTAAAATGAGATGTTAAAATGGAAATGGTTTTCTTAAGTGCAAAAAGACATAATTTTGCCAAGGTTTGTAGTGTGTGAAAAGACAAGCATTATAATAGATGATAGATCTTTAAAGCTTTTCTTTTTCTATTTTGAAATGGTTTTTTTCTAGGCTAATCATATTAAGTGCTAGAAGATTCTTTTATCAGTCAGATTTATAGATGTGCACAATTAAGCTAACCATATTTCTTGGTTTATTCTTTCATCCTGTTGTGGTTTCATCAGGCATGTATAGTCTTGGGTCTCATATTTGCCATGTGTAAGTCTGTTACTGAAAGTGACATTTACTTATATTGAAAGATTCTTGGGTAATTATCCAATGATGAATTTGTGCATCTTTATTTTGAAGATCAACTCTGTGATT